GATCAAGCACTTATTGAAAATCTACAAATGATTTTAACAGATGTTATAAAATGATTAAAAGCTTGTTAATGCACAACACTTTTGCTGCTACTGAGGTGTGATATGGGTAAGGTTAGGGACAGGTTTGGTGGTTTGGGTAGGTTTACGGGTTGGTTAAAGGTTTAAGGGTAGTGTAAAGGGGTCAATTTGAATACTATAAGTATGATAATTGTTTATTTATGATTCAAGGAATATCCTATTTAATGATAAACTGAAGAGTAGTATACTAATGTGAGTGTCAAGGCAATAAAAACATTTTTTGCACCAAAATTACAATCTGTTATGTCTTTAGTAAGCATTTAGCTAAATTTAACCAGCCACCCTTTACACAAACCTTGTTACAAGCAGCTAAAAATCCAATGGCCATAAAGATACTAAATGATTAATAATCGTTTAGAAACATTTACAAATGATGAATGGTTTCCACTTTAGATTGGCTACTGCAAAAACAAACAAATGATTAATAAATGATTAATAAAGATGTGTGAATAGGGTAAATTCAGGTCTTTCGGGACGCTTTTTGCCATTGAGATGACTGCTCATAAAGGTATTAATGATTAGTAAACATTCATAAACATTTGCAAATAATGAATAGTTTCCACTTTAGATTGGGTACTGCAAAAACATGAACAAATAATGAATACATTATTTATTAAGATGTGTAAATAGAGGTCTACACAACAAAGACCAACGAATGAAGATCATATGAACTGAAAGTTTACTGACATTTGTAAGCATTTCAATTTACATTCAATAATCATCTGTTAATCATTAGGTTCATTAGTAAACATGAATAAGAACATTATCTCATATTTCTAGCTATGTGAGTATACTAACCAATGATCTGTTAAGCATTATATAATGTTTGTTAATGATTTATAAATGAAAGTTATTATAAAGTGTTACCAATATTTATTACATATTTTTACATTACTTGCTCATCCTTCATTTTATTCTTCCTCACATACTTCTCAGCAACTAATCCAGCTCCTAAATTAACACTCAAAACTTTTGTGACTCATTTTAGCCATATTATTTAGTGTTTTACAAACTTTATACTTAAAGGCACAATATGTAATTTTCGCCACTAGAGGGCGCGTATTCAAAATAAACAAATAGACAAAGGCATAGGCAGTGACTGAGTGTGGAATCATGGGAGTTGTCGTCTTCATCCCCACAGCCGATGCAATCGGACGGGACTCGGGCAGAAATCATGTTCATGGATGAGCTAATGATTTATTAACGTAGTAGAATGAAGCAGGGTGAGGCTGAAAGCCGTCGAAGCGAAACGAGGCCGCTGAACGAGCGTGACACACGGCTTGAAAGCAGTGGAGCTTTTATTATGCCACAGTCGACCGCTTCCGCTGCTTCCGGTTGTGCGTATGTGGGAAAAAAGCAGCACTGTTTTATCATACTAGATACATTTGAAAGTTCTGTTATAATGCTACTCTGTGCGGTCGTCACCGGTCTATTAAAACGCACAACATATTAAAGCGTCTTTGGTGTTTCCATGTTTTCTACAAAACAAAACATCGAGGGTGTATGACGTCATTGGCAGGCGACACAATGACACTATGGACACGGTCCGTGTCACTAGTTAAAATTGCTTATTTCTCTGGATTTAAACATTCTTCGAAACATTTGGGATAATATAAGTACACAAGTCAGCAAAATATATAACACTGTTCTAGTGGTTTTTGGATATTTTAATAAAAAAATCTTACATATTGTGCCTTTAAGAAATAAATTTTTTTGTTTTTTAATTTGTAAAAGCAAACAGTAAAAACATCAGTTCCACAAGTCTACAGTATCATAAATAATATTATATATTCAATATTCTATTAACAAAGAGTAGAGGAATATTAGTCAAATTAATATATTATATTACAAATATATTACAAATGCAAAACCACAAGTCTACAGCATTACAAACAATACTATAAAATCTTAAATATTATATTATAATTGATAATAAAGAGGAATATTATTATATTATTATACATAATACTAGATAAAATATATCATTCTATTCTATAAAAAAATCACATCCAAAACCACTAATCTACAGCATCATAAATTATATTATAATAATTTATTATATATTATAATAAAATATTATATCATCATTAATAATAAATATAGGAATATTATTTTTATTACATATATTAAAAATCCAAAAGTTTTAACAGTATTATTTTTAAATATTCAAACTACTTGAGTGCAGATAATGATTAACAGTAACATTTTGTATGACACATCATAAAATGGTAGTATAAGAAAATCAAAACAGATTGTCTGTTGGTCCTGTGAGGATCTGTCACTATATATCAAGCAGTACGATACAATGTCAAATGCATAACTGAGAGAAAACCCTCTTCTTATGCAAGCAATCGTCAAGAATTGTTTTCCCTGTACTAAGATCAGATACAAGATATCTCTTTCTTTTTATTTCACTACTAGCTTCCTCTATAGCAACCTCATAAACCCTTCCGTCGTCACCTTTCTGTGACACTATCAGCAAAATGTTTCAAGTGGCGAGTGATGCTTCGGTTAAGAGATGCGCTGAAGCCATAGTTCTGTTTAAAATATTGAGCTCAAGCTATGACAGAAAGAATCAAGAAGGACAGAAGAGGGATTTTAATCAATACCACACCAGACAGCACCATGCATTTTTTGTTAGCTACAAGGTTTTTTTACACAGAAGTGTGTGGCTGTAATTAGCAATTATTGCTATGAGAGAGAACACAAGACATTTATTCCCCAACATCTGCAGATTAGCCACAAGAGCTATTGTTTATTCCATTAGCAAAGTCATTCTTCACAGCGGAGGATATTAGCTCTGGCTGAGGTCAGACATCGCAGATAAAATTGTTTGCCATTTTCAAAGGAATATTCTGGATTAAATTACAATTTGAGCTCTATAAACACCATATGTGGCCTGTTGTCGATTACCACTGGAAAGAATGTGCGATACATTTATAAAAACAAACAGTAAAAACAGTACTTACACAAGTCTAAAGCATCACAAATAAATAACAATATATAAAAATAATAATAATAAATAAAATAAAATCATGTCATAACATTAATCGAAAGCATGTTATAGGAAAAATTTAGTAGGTATATACGGATATATTTCAGAACAATATACTATAAAATCAAAATAAGAAGTAGGTTTAAGATCTGACATGGATTTAGAGCAAGAGAACAGAAGGAAACTATGAAGTCATGGCTGTTTGAGAGGTTAAACTACTTTTTGGCAATGGTGACACTTTGGCACGTTTCACGATAAGCAAACGGACAGCTGCCCCAACCCAAATTTTAGGAGGCGTCAACTGATACGAATGTACAAAGTGGAGGTAGAAGCCCTGTTCCCTCCATGCACATGTAAATGTTGATGAGCATATTAAAACTTCATACACACAACAGCTGCTCAATTCAACTTTGAGAAGATTTCAACATCACAAATAAGGTCTAAACTTCTGAAAGTCTGTGGGATGATTACAAATACAGTACATCTCAAGAAGTTTTTTTTTTTGTATCGTCAAAGTCTTATCTTATCTTGAATAAATTTACAAAATTTATAAAACAAATGAAAAAGGCAAAATTGACATTCTGACAGTATATACTATTCCCATTATGTGCATTATGTGCACCCCTATTTGAAGAAAAACAAAAAGATTGACGAAACCCATGGCAAAAATATAAGCAAATTGGGCTGTGGAAAAATGTCTTTACTTTTAATTCTCTTTATTAAAAATGTACATAAACCTATAATTTCATTGAAATAAAATGAAAGAAAAAAAGTGAAATACATTTTTTTTTTTTTGTGAAATTAATTTTTTTCTCCAAAAAGTACAAAATTAGTGGTACGCCTTTGTATTCTTAAGATTGAAAATCTAACTAAACTATTTAAATATTGCATGGTAGAAATCATTTCATTTTGTGAGACGAAATGACCAAAAAATATACATTTTAACAGTGGTTGACTCTTAACTTTTATAAAGAATATCTCTTTGGATTTGAGACTTTAGTCTTTGCAACTTTACAGATCTTCTTTATGCACCAAGAGCTTGTAACACTCCAAAGAGAAAGGAAAACTTGAAATCGCATCATATGACCCCTTTAAGCAAAAATACCTGATCTCATAATGCCATAATGTGCAAAAAAAAAATTTGGATATTGATATCTGGGTAGTAGATGATCATTTAATTAATTGTTGGTCATACTGTAACTGTGAAATACAAAAAAATGAATTTAACAAAGAACCCTTTGGGTATTGCAAAAATCTGAAGGTATTTTCAAGAACGTATGGCTGTTTGGACATTTTCTATCAAAACGCTTTATAAAACAAAAACAAGTTTGCTGGCAGCTGCAAGAGAACAAAATAATGACTGAGCAGCACAAAGCGGAAATAACTGGATTTTTTTTTTCTTTTACTGTGCATCGAAGTGAATTCAATTAACTTGAACTGAAAGGTCTGGAGCAGATGGGTCACTTGACTGAATTGGTTTTTGGGAAATCAGACTTTCATATTAAAACTGATCCATGCATAATACAAGGGCTACAACCAATCATTTGCCTCAGCTGTTCATACCTAAAAGAAGCCAGTGGCAGTGTGCATAGAATGGGATTCTAATTTCCTAGTGTGGATATTGTGATTATATTACACTGCACTGTCACAATGGAAACAAAACAGGTGTGAAACCCGGTTTAAAATTGACACTTGTCTAGCACCAAATGTGATGAAAAACTGGCTTTGTCAATTGCACGAATGATAAACTGAATCTCACTTATGTAAATGACACGATTCAAATCAAAGACACTCAAACTGGAGGAAACTTGAGCGTTGCGCAAACAACTATTACCTCAGAGGTTTATCTAGAAGCAATCTTTTTTTCTTCAGAACTGCACGTGTCATCACATATAATAAAAATTCCTCACATTAAGTCAACACATTGAAAATATGAGGAAAACAAAGACTGGCACTGTTGTCACTAATTTGCAGGGGAAAACAAACAAAGCAAAATATGGTAAGTACAAATGTCAAAAAAGAAAAGAAAACAATGTTAATATATATTAACTTTTTTTTTAACAGTTAACTTTTTCCCCCAAGAAATTAACACTTAATCAGCAAACATAGTATAACTTGATGAAGTAAAAACCTTTATAATGTTAACATATTATAAATATTTAAAATTATGTGTAGAATATTTATAATCTATATAAGATCCGAAATTCTAATATCTATTATTATCTATAAAATGTTAACAGAAGATTTCAGAAGGATCATGTGAAATTGAAGACTGCTGAAAATTCAGCTTTGATCACAGGAATTAATTACATTTTAAAATATTAAAATAGAGAACAGTTTTTTTGAATCATAATAATAGTATAGTATTTTAAATCATAATAATGCTAAACAAAATTACTGTTTTTAGTGTAAATACAGTCTTGGTGATCATAAGAGACTTCTTTCAAAAACAATCAAACGAAAAATAAACTTTACAGACCCCAAACTTTTGAGCAGTATTGTAAATAATATAGATTAAAAAAAAATCTGTAACGCTTGTCAGAAACACTGTATAAAAATACAAAGAAATTAAACAAAATACTGGTTAATAACAACCAAGACTGTTTGAGAAGAATCAAACGGTTAACTGTCATCACAAGAAGAAGAAGAATTAAGTTGTTCCAAAACTGTATGAGTTTCTTTCTTCTGTTGAACACAAAAGACGACATTTTGAAGAATGTTGGTAACCAGACAGTTGCTGGTAGCCATTGACTTCCATAGTATGGAAAAAATACTATGGAAGTCAATGGTTACCGTCAACTGTTTGCTTACCAGCATTCTTCGAAATGTCTTCTTTTGTGTTCAACAGAAGAAAGAAACTCGTACAGTTTTGGAGCAAGTGGAGGGTGAGTAAATGATGACAGATTTTCCATTTTTGGGTTAACTATCCCTTTAATAGATGGACTGGAATCAGTTGGCGGGGCAAAGTAAATGGAAAGAAGGAAGTTAGGGGACGAAATAGAGGGAAAGGCGGATATTCTCACCTCTAGTGGGGTAGAGAGAGTGACGGTGGGGGAACTGAGGCTACGGGGTCTGCGCACTTGTGGTTCGCTTAGATGGCCGCTGGAGGAGGAAGGGGTGGAAGCGGGGGTTGTGGCTGCTGTAGCGCCCCCTGCTGCCGCAGCTGAGGTACTGGCTCCATCTTCAGTGTGCTGCTGGTCAAAGAAAAGGATGAGCTAGCTAGTCACCACACCGTCTTGTCCAAGGGTACGCCATCCAACACTGACCCTAGTCAGACTGCATTCATGGTTTAAAAGAGGTCCTGAATGCACCATGTATACAATACTGTAGGAAATGAAGGCGTATTAAACTAATCAATAATTGTAAGGTTTAATTTGATTGTGGGGACAAACATGAAGGTCTGTCTGGTTTATAAATGACTACAGAATACATTAAGAACGTTAAAAGATTGGAGATCAGATAAATAAGCCTTTTTATGTGGTCCGTTATAAAAAAAAGAAAGAAAGAAATGGAGAGAATCATACGAAGGATGAAGAATAGAGAGTTTACTACCACACGGACCAGAAAGATAAGATGTAGATCAAGAGGAACCAGAGTGGCAATAAATAGATCAAGAAAAAACACGACAGAAAACAAATAACAGACATTGTGATGGGACAAGTACACAAGAACATGGAAGCAAACAGATAAAGGCAGAACAACGGAAAGAAAATGAGACTGACGCAGTAGTAAAAAAACATGGGCCAATAAAGAAGGAACGTAGAGAAGAGTCATGGAAGACGCTTGGATGAAAAACAGACCTCCGTTAGCTTTAGCTAGGCTATGCTAGAATACTGTACCTGCAGAATGGGCCGAGTCCAGGTGGTGCTACGGTTGTTGTGGTTGACGAAGTATGTTCGTCCCTTGGGGTCTTTGCGTTCCTCCCAGCCTGGCGGAAGGCCTGGTGTGGTCAAGGCGTAGGAGGCCGATGGAAACTGATCAAAGTTAAACGAAAAGTTTGCATATTTACAAAACAAAGAAGAGACTCTGTGATATTAAAATCTGTATCACTGTCAGTTCTGCTACAATAAATGAATCTGTTTAGATTTTATATCAGGGTCATTTCTGTATGGGAAGCCTTGTTAACTGATATGACATTCAATATGATGAGAGTGGGAATATTGTACACTTAAAACCAGAACACTGACACATTTTCACAAACACATAAGAACACCTAAGCAACACAACGTTCAAAACACACTCCACACAAGGTGACATGTTTTAATAGTATTATGGACACATTTGAAATGCATCCGATAAATATGTCTGGGTGGATTTATATGCAAGGTGAAGATGGACATGCTGGGGTGTAAACCGATCCCTGACAATTTCTAAATTTATAGTCATACACACACTCAAAAATTGGCATAAAATAAAAGAGAGAAAATATTTATGAAATGAGATGTGCCACCAATAAAGATAGCTCCTAATAAAAAATGGTTCATTTAAATTATTTTAAAAAGTATACATTTATAAATTTAAATTAATAACATAATAATAAATTAAATTATATTAAATTATTATATTATAATACAATTAATAATAATTAATTAATTAAATTAATTTCAAATAACAATAATTAATACTCTTAATTATCTTAATAAGGGGAAAATTAATTAATTAATTAATTAACTCACAATATTTTACATCAATACCACATTAAAGAACTGTTGTAAAATGAAAAAAGTGAAATGAGGTGCCATCTATAAAGAACACTCCTAATAAAAATGGATACATTTAATTAAAACAAATTATGAATTTATAAATATAAATTAAATTATCAAAAGTAATACAAATTTAATTATATTAATAATAATGAATATACTTAATCACATCTCAATAAACACAAACACTAAATAAATAAAAGTAAGAAGGAGAAGAACCAAGAACACAGGAGAGCACAAATGTACAACATGTGGATATTACCATGGTGTCCTCAACGCCTGTGACCGTTTGTGCTCTTGTTCGTCGGGGCTGGGAGCTCTGCTGGACAATAACAGCTGCTTTTAGATGGGGCAGGCAATCGCCCTGTTTTGGGCCAGTGGGAGAGGGGAAATGAGGGCAAATGGAAGGACAGGTTCAGCCAGAAAGCAGAACGACGAGTAGATGGGGAAGTGATTTTAGGGTAGTTTTTGTTATTTTAGGTGATTTTTGATGGCTGAAGGGGGTGATTTTGTGAGAGAGGGTGCCCTGCGGTGTGACGTAAGGATACAGCAACCCAAAAAAATTCTTTTGTGTTCAACAGAAGAAAGAAACTCGTACAGTTTTGGAGCAAGTGGAGGGTGAGTAAATGATGACAGATTTTCCATTTTTGGGTTAACTATCCCTTTAATAGATGGACTGGAATCAGTTGGCGGGGCAAAGTAAATGGAAAGAAGGAAGTTAGGGGACGAAATAGAGGGAAAGGCGGATATTCTCACCTCTAGTGGGGTAGAGAGAGTGACGGTGGGGGAACTGAGGCTACGGGGTCTGCGCACTTGTGGTTCGCTTAGATGGCCGCTGGAGGAGGAAGGGGTGGAAGCGGGGGTTGTGGCTGCTGTAGCGCCCCCTGCTGCCGCAGCTGAGGTACTGGCTCCATCTTCAGTGTGCTGCTGGTCAAAGAAAAGGATGAGCTAGCTAGTCACCACACCGTCTTGTCCAAGGGTACGCCATCCAACACTGACCCTAGTCAGACTGCATTCATGGTTTAAAAGAGGTCCTGAATGCACCATGTATACAATACTGTAGGAAATGAAGGCGTATTAAACTAATCAATAATTGTAAGGTTTAATTTGATTGTGGGGACAAACATGAAGGTCTGTCTGGTTTATAAATGACTACAGAATACATTAAGAACGTTAAAAGATTGGAGATCAGATAAATAAGCCTTTTTATGTGGTCCGTTATAAAAAAAAGAAAGAAAGAAATGGAGAGAATCATACGAAGGATGAAGAATAGAGAGTTTACTACCACACGGACCAGAAAGATAAGATGTAGATCAAGAGGAACCAGAGTGGCAATAAATAGATCAAGAAAAAACACGACAGAAAACAAATAACAGACATTGTGATGGGACAAGTACACAAGAACATGGAAGCAAACAGATAAAGGCAGAACAACGGAAAGAAAATGAGACTGACGCAGTAGTAAAAAAACATGGGCCAATAAAGAAGGAACGTAGAGAAGAGTCATGGAAGACGCTTGGATGAAAAACAGACCTCCGTTAGCTTTAGCTAGGCTATGCTAGAATACTGTACCTGCAGAATGGGCCGAGTCCAGGTGGTGCTACGGTTGTTGTGGTTGACGAAGTATGTTCGTCCCTTGGGGTCTTTGCGTTCCTCCCAGCCTGGCGGAAGGCCTGGTGTGGTCAAGGCGTAGGAGGCCGATGGAAACTGATCAAAGTTAAACGAAAAGTTTGCATATTTACAAAACAAAGAAGAGACTCTGTGATATTAAAATCTGTATCACTGTCAGTTCTGCTACAATAAATGAATCTGTTTAGATTTTATATCAGGGTCATTTCTGTATGGGAAGCCTTGTTAACTGATATGACATTCAATATGATGAGAGTGGGAATATTGTACACTTAAAACCAGAACACTGACACATTTTCACAAACACATAAGAACACCTAAGCAACACAACGTTCAAAACACACTCCACACAAGGTGACATGTTTTAATAGTATTATGGACACATTTGAAATGCATCCGATAAATATGTCTGGGTGGATTTATATGCAAGGTGAAGATGGACATGCTGGGGTGTAAACCGATCCCTGACAATTTCTAAATTTATAGTCATACACACACTCAAAAATTGGCATAAAATAAAAGAGAGAAAATATTTATGAAATGAGATGTGCCACCAATAAAGATAGCTCCTAATAAAAAATGGTTCATTTAAATTATTTTAAAAAGTATACATTTATAAATTTAAATTAATAACATAATAATAAATTAAATTATATTAAATTATTATATTATAATACAATTAATAATAATTAATTAATTAAATTAATTTCAAATAACAATAATTAATACTCTTAATTATCTTAATAAGGGGAAAATTAATTAATTAATTAATTAACTCACAATATTTTACATCAATACCACATTAAAGAACTGTTGTAAAATGAAAAAAGTGAAATGAGGTGCCATCTATAAAGAACACTCCTAATAAAAATGGATACATTTAATTAAAACAAATTATGAATTTATAAATATAAATTAAATTATCAAAAGTAATACAAATTTAATTATATTAATAATAATGAATATACTTAATCACATCTCAATAAACACAAACACTAAATAAATAAAAGTAAGAAGGAGAAGAACCAAGAACACAGGAGAGCACAAATGTACAACATGTGGATATTACCATGGTGTCCTCAACGCCTGTGACCGTTTGTGCTCTTGTTCGTCGGGGCTGGGAGCTCTGCTGGACAATAACAGCTGCTTTTAGATGGGGCAGGCAATCGCCCTGTTTTGGGCCAGTGGGAGAGGGGAAATGAGGGCAAATGGAAGGACAGGTTCAGCCAGAAAGCAGAACGACGAGTAGATGGGGAAGTGATTTTAGGGTAGTTTTTGTTATTTTAGGTGATTTTTGATGGCTGAAGGGGGTGATTTTGTGAGAGAGGGTGCCCTGCGGTGTGACGTAAGGATACAGCAACCCAAAAAAATCGGTGTAACAAGATATGATTAGATAAACTATAGGGAGTGTATTTAATTTGAAATCACTGTTGGATAATTAGAATTGAGAACACATTGAGATTTTATTAAAGAGTGATAGGAGAGTGAAAGAAATACCCAGGTGCATATTTGTGGGGGGGGAAAAGAATCATTAATTGCAATTAAGGGATGATTAGTGTCAACATTTTGTTTTTGTCTTAAAATGATAGCAAATCATGACAGGATTTTCATTTTGTGTCAACCATTCCTTTAATATAATTCATATAATGGTAAGGAAGCTTGTTAAAATGAAACCATGAAATTAAAATAACTAAACAATAATTAATTTGTAATATATACTCATATGCTTACCATGGCTGCATTTATTTGATCAAAAATACAGTAAAACAGAAATATTTAAATATTATTGCAAACTTACATAACGGTTTCTTATTTTAATATCTTTTAATACTTTATTTATACCTGTGATGGCAAAGCTAAATTTTGAGCAGTCATTACTCCAGTCTTCATTGTCACTTGATTCTTCAGAAATCATTTTAATATGCTCTAATAATTTCAAATATTACTGTTTTTACTGTATTTTTGGTGGCTTCCATAAACGCAGTAATAATAATGACTGATTGTAACCGAGACTGTCCTGAGATTACATTGTGTCCACAATGACAGATCTAAAAGGTTTCCAGGAATCATCTAAATAAGTAGCTTCCTTCAGCATTTCAAACTGACTCACACTTGCCCACTGACTCACCGACTATAAAAACAGAGGAAAAGACACCTGGGAAAATATCCGACTGGCACTCAGAGTTTACATTTCAAATACTGAACGAGTCAACTCTCACACAGACAATGAAATGCTTTCCATCTGCTTTTACATGGACGTAATAAAAGACACTCTTGTCTCAAACAGGGCAATCCGATTAGCCATCCTCTCAAGCAATGATTGCATATTTCCACTCGTGTGAAATGCCAGCCTCCTCGTACACAGGGACAGGAAGTGTGGGGGAAATGCCACCTCTCACCCACACTAATATCAGACAGATTTGCTGTGACTATAGCAAATCCCTCATCTGCAGCTCTCAAAAGCACTTCAGAGCCAGAGAGAACCGGGCCACCAACCGATCAGCCTCTTGTCAGAACAAAGTATACTATATTCCAAGTCTAAATACAATTTACAGTATTTGTTTGTGTGACAGACTTGCACTACAGTTCAAAACGTTTTTTTTTTAATATAAATTAATACTTTTCAGATAGCATGCTTTAAAGGGGTCATATGATGTTGCTGAAAAAAAACATTATTTTGTGTATTTGGTGCAATGAAATGTGTTTATGCTGTTTAAGGTTAAAAAAACACATTATTTTCCACATACTGTACATTATTGTTTCTCCTCTATGCCCCGCCTTTCTGAAATGCGTCGATTTTTACAAAGCTCATCGGTCTGAAAAGCGAGGTGTGCTCTGATTGGCCAGCTATCCAGTGCGTTGTGATTGGCCGAATACCTCAAGCGTGTGACGGAAATGTTACGCCCCTTACCATACTCTGATGCCGTGTCCTGGCCGGAGCGACGAGACAAAAACATTCAAACCCATTAGAAACGAGGAATTTGTTGCATCCAGAGGGGACATAATTACGGATTATAATGAC